ATTTCACAAGTTTTTGGTGTGTTCCTGTAAATTAAGAGACAGAGAAGTTCCTTGAGAAAACTGTCACTGGGGAAGGAAGGCCTTGAGTAAGGAAGATGCTGGATCTGGGCTGCAGAGAAAGAGGAATGACACCAGGGTCTCCAATCACGCAATCAGATGAATTCACACTCACAATGGACCCCATAGGTCCTTGAGCTCAGGCTGAGTCCAGGTGCACAGGTAAATCACCTGAGAATTTCTTAATACTGAGGTGGGATGCCCAGGCCTTAGAGAGGGTTGGACTGGGATGGGGCTTGATCAGTGTGATTTTTAATAATACCAACATTTAGGAGGCTGAGGAGGGAGGATCGCAAATTGAAACCCAGTCTGCAGTTTAACAAAATTGCAATATCCTGTCTCGAAAGAAAGAAAGAGAGAAAGAAAGAAAGAAAGAAAGAAAGAAAGAAAGAAAGAAAGAAAGAAAAAGAGAGAGAAGAAAGAAGGAACAAAGCAGGGAAGGAAGGGAGGGAGGGAAGGAGGGAAGAAGGGAGGGAGGAAAGAAGAAAGAGAAAGAAAGAGAGGAGGAGGGAGGAGGAGGGGGCGGATGGAGGGAGGAAAAAGGAAGGAAAGAAGGGAAGAAGGAAAGGAGGGAGGAAACAAAGGAGGAAGAATAAAAAAGAAAGAAAGGAAGAAGGGAAGGAAGGTGGGATTGAGGGTGTAGCCCAGTATGAAGATCCTGGGTTCAATTCCCTGTACTCTGGGGCAGGGTGGGGGAGCTTCCTTAGAAGATTCCGACATGCAGTGAAGGGTAAGGTTCGCTTATCTAGTCCAGATCACTTATATATCTGCCTAGGAAATCAAGGTTCACCCATGTAAAGTGGTTTCTTACAGCTGGTCAGTCGTTTTTGTTTTTTTAATAGTTGGTCTTGGACTCTTGAAAAAGGACTCATAGCTTAGTGGTGAAATTTTATTTCCTAAAAGTTTTACTTTCTTCGGTTCCAATTTCTATCTCATCTAGTTCATGTGTGTACGTGTACACACACACACACACACACACACACACACACACAGTCATTGTTCTGTTTTTTCTGTACGTAATTTTGCTCTGCACTGTGTTTCTCATGGCCCTGTTTGTTGCAAAGAGGCACTGAGACAGATGCTGACTGACTGACAGAAGCCAAAGCCCCGCAGAATCAGGACCAATGCCAATTCAGAGCGATGACAAGAGGAACGCTTTATTCCCCACTCTGAGTGATTATCTAGGGCTTTGCAGAATAGAAAAACTATCATTTTATTTTCTTTTGTGTTTCACAAGAATTCTGAAGACATTTCATCAAAATAAGAGCAATTTCCTAACTTACTTATATTTAGCATCTTCTTATAGCTGGAACATATTTTATGACAATATAAGTAGACCTGCCTTATTGCTTTGGGAATTTTTCCTTCTGTACAGTTTCTGACCATTGCAGGAGATCTCTGTGGGAGCTTATGGAATGGTGAGAGCAGAGATGGGAAAAGGAGCTGGACAGTAGAAACAGTCTGGATCAGGCAGTGTGTTCAAAGGTTTCTAAGAGGAAAACAATCCTGCAACTATTCTACTTGAGGTTCACATTATAAAAGACACAGCAGGCAACTGTATTTAAATTTCTTTGGTACCGGAAATCAAACTCAGGACCTTGCATTTGCCAGGCAGGTGCTTGTGCCACTGAGCTATATTCCCAGCCCCAGTAACTATATTTAAAGAAGGTATTTTCTTTAAATTTTATGATTGAAAATAGTAACTGTAATGATAATACTTTCAATAACCGCCTTTTGTTGGCATACTTCTTGGAGCCAGATACTGTTCAGTGCTTAAACTCAAACTCCAAGAACTACCCTTGAGTGTGGACAAGAATTTACATAAGGTGCATGCTGGAGCGTGGAGGGCTCCCACTTCCCACCAGCATGCCTGGCTTTGACAGGACACCCTCATGCTCAGGGCTTAGGCTGCTTTCTGAGGAGTTGGCCTCTTCCCTCTAAAGTGTTAAGCTTCCTCTTTTCTCTCTGAAAGTTACATTACTTTAGTTTACAAAGTAAACTGGCAATAGACTCACAGAAAACAAGTACATATTTATTAACATGGTCAGACATGAAGCCATATTCAAATAATGAGTCCCAAAGAGCCGGGAGACAAGCTAATGCTGGAGTTTCCCCCTTGCAGGCAGACGGAGATGCAGACAGGGATGTAGGCACTTGTAGGGGCATAGTGAGTGATTATCGAGGAGAATGGGTGAACACAGAAACTAACTTGCCAATGATTATTTTTGGAACTAAGAGTCTGGAGGCACGATCTTCTAACAAAGTTCATATGATGTACTTTTGGTCTCAAGTCATCTCTTCTGCTCAGGAAATGTTTCAGTGTGGGATGGTAGATAACTCTAGTTGTTTTTTGGATCGGATTTTAATGTGGATAAGGAAATTGTGGGAAAACTCACTGCCTGCAGTTTTGAGGGAAAAATAAACCAATATGAGGGGTACTTTGATTTTTCAGGCCTTGTTTCAGGCCCTCAGGACGTCAGCAGGCCAAGCTTTGGATTATCAGCTTTGAACCTTCATTTCTCAACCAGGCTGACTGCTCCTATGAACCTTACCACAAAGATAACACCCCAGATGCTCATTACTTAACTTGAAGAACATTTTTATTTGTGATAGAAGATTCTTCCCACAAAGAGAAATCCATTTGAGAACAGATCCACATCTTTCAGCTGTCCCTCTTCTATGCAGTTATCCAGATTCTAGACACCAGCCTTCCCAGGAGGCAGCATTGGGTTGATGCTCCTTGTTCGCGCCTGAAGCAGGTTTGGTTCCAAATGCTGGCAAGTTGCTGTGTTCCTGAAGCTCTACAGACACCCGTAGTCCAGGTGCAGAGTCACTGGCAACCTGGTTTCCTGCATCTCGGCACTTATCTGGAAAGCTATAAAACGCTGCACTTAGTCCTTGCCTCGTGACTCTTAATCACAGATCAGTGGACAGAAAGCATCTTCAGAAATCTCCATTTCTTTCTGCTAACTCTCTTTGTCTCAGTTTAACAGCTTGACATTAATTTCTGTGAAGTTTCTCGTGTTGTTTTTTTTTAATTTTCAGGTCACAAGAGAAAAGATGGCTAACAATGGCACCAGACATATATATGAATGGTTCATCATGCCCAGATTCAGCTTTTCAGTAAAGCAAATCTGATACTTCCCTCTCAAAAGTGAGCTCTTTGATAATTATCTTAACTGTGGCTGGGGTGAATTTACCTTGTGGGAATTTCTAAGGAATCATCACTTTACCACACATATCAGTAGAGTGGGCCAACTTCCCATAAAAGTTGAGGAGAAGCAAAGCTCAAAAGATCAAATCTGTGCCAGACACATCACACATGCCCTTATGACTTCTTATTATGAACTCGGTAGATACATGGGCAAGTGGAGGTAGGACAGGCAGCAGATTGTCATGACACTAAAGGTCTCTGCATGATTGTGATGATCGTGAGTAGCTTTGTGAAACACTTCTGGGGAGTCATATCACCCCTTTAGACTAGAAGAGAAAAAATACAAAAAAGTCATTAAACTCTAGCTTGCTCCTTTTGAAAATTCAATTTATTAGCTAGTTTTCCTTTAAATAGACAAAATGCCAGAGGAAATCAGATTAGAACAACCGAGATTTATTTTGTCTCATGATTTCAGAGGGTTCAGTCTGTGGTTAGCTGGCTCCTTTGTGTTTAGCCCTATGCAGGACATCACAACAGCAACAGTGTGTGGCACAGGAAGTTGCTCACCTCTAACAGCAAAGAACAGGTAGTGCAGAGAGGGATAAAAAGGGGAAGTGGGACAGGAAGGAGGAGAAGGACAGGATAAGAATTAACCTACAAAAACATAATAATTAGCCTAGAAAAGTACCTCCCGAAGTTCGCAGCACCCCCCAACTACACTGAGACAGAGGAGAAGCTCCTGACTGTCCTGTTTTCCCTGCTGGTTAGAAGGAGGGATGGGTTGGCTGGTGGCTGTTGTAACCCTCCTTCTCACCTCCCCTTGCCCCCTTACCCCATGGACTGGGAAAATTTGTTTCATTGGCCTCCCTGGCTATCTAGTGGCCGCTGTCCTCCACTCTACTATAAAGTGAGTGCAGTTCAACTATCAGCAGAGTCGACCTATAATGCTCAGCACAAGCTGGCACCAGAAGGCTGTGGCCAGCAGTGGCAGAAACCAGTATCTGGCAGAATTGATTTTATGGTCCAACATAAACCAGCACCAACAGTGGTGGCTAGCAGTGGCAGTGATTAGCAGCTTGCTGTGTCCACTGGCGGCATCCAACATGATCTGGTATCATCTAGTACCATCAGGACAGCTAGCAGAGCTGCACTTTGCTGATTCATGGTTTCCATCTGAATCTATAAAAAGAACCCTAGGCTGACTGACAATAATGCACCAGCTGAGAAGGAAGCCTTCAGCTCCTGAGGGGCCCATTGTTAACAGATCCAAATTGTCACATGTAACGGGCTAGCTTGCTAGTTTTCTCTGTTGCTGTGAGTAAGCAAAAGGTTACCAGAGGCCTTTTGCCATTTACTGTTCTCAGAGAACAAGAAAAATATAGCATCAGAGAATGGCAGCAGTTGGGTTAAAAACTACCATTCTGAGCTTTACAGAATTTTATCCTAAAAACTGAATATACTCTGATTCCAGATAGGAAACTGGAGATGACGAAGGGAAGGTATGATTTTTTCACAGTCCTTGTCTCTAGGTTCAAGGCACTCTACACCAAGCAGCATGTCCTAATACCAAGCTTCTCCCACTCAGGAAAAGAGAAACTTGCACACCAAAACATGGTTTCCCAGCCTCTTCTCAGGCAGTTCACCAAAGACTGCAAAGACAGCATCTCTGGTTAAATTTCAGTTTCTATAAGCAGCTACTTGCCAGCTTACTTTCACTTTCCAGTTTCAGGTTCTAACTTCTGACTGCAAGGACACACCCTCAGCTGATGTCATTAGTTGCTTATATAGCCCTATTCTTGGAGAAAATCCACAAGACAGGCCAGTGGGATCTCTACAGACCTGGTGCTGACATACTTCAGAACTGTTGCCTAATTCGCAGCAGCCATGAGGTAATGATTCCTTGTCTCTCTGCCAGCATGTCTAAGGTTTGGAAAAGAGTGTTAATCATTGCTGTCTTGAATGTTTCATCTCAGTGATGTCAAGCTTCCTAGCTCTTCTATTTGAGTGTTTGCTGGTGGAATGGATGTGTGTGAATGCAAATACATTTGTGCATTCAGAGAAACTGCTGCATTTTAATTTTTGTTAGCATAAGCCTAAAGAAACTTCGCTTATTCTACAGCCCAAGGAAGGGGAGAGAAGAAGGGAATGAGTCTTGCAGGAAAAATGATCCCAGTTTCAGAGACTCCTTTCCACTAGGCTCACCCTGCCCCATCTAAGGAAAGGAGGAACAGCTTCTCTGGGAAGAGACATCTCTTTTGCTCTCCTTGCTGAGCAGGAAAACCAGGACCCACTAGCTCTGTGAGCTGCATTTGGACCTCTCATAGGCCTTGGGGTTGTGTGGGGTTGGGGTGGGAGAAGTTCATGGTCTTTCTGTTGGTTTCTAGTTTCACAGTTTTTGTTGTTATTGATGTAGTTATAGTTGCTGCTGCTATTGCTGCTGTTTGGGTTTTTGTGTTTGTTTGTATTTGGTGGTATCCTGAATTGAACCCAGGGTTTTCACCCTAAGCTACATCCCCAGCCCTTTTTTAAATCTTCTGTTTTAAAAAAGTGTCTTGCTAAGTAGCTAAATTGCCCAGGCTGGGCTCAGTCTTGTAATTCTCCTGCCTCAGCCTGGAGAATGCTAAGATTACAGGCATGAACAACTTCACCTGACTGGTCTCATTCTCTGACTGCTGGGCTCTGATAAAGGTCTGACAGGATTTAACATTAGCAGGTCACCTCTTTCTTTGACCACCTACAAATCCTTGATGTGCTCTTTCCCATGGGTCCTGGCTGCAGTTCTCTGTGTTCACATTGTCCTTACTTAAAAGTATTCACGTTGTCCTTACTTAAAAGGCTTGACACGGTCATTTCTGTGTAATTGCAACTGGATATTGGTCATATAATTCCTGATATCAGCAGAGAAAACAATTAGTTGATACTGTCTTAGAAATGTCCACTCACTGTTTCACTGGGAAAAAAATTTGAAAAGGCCAATGTTCCAGAAAATTCTCAACTGAAGGGCTAGGATGTATTTTCTTCCTTGTATGAAGCTCTCACTGACAACTGAAATAATTGAATGACAATAATAGCTGTTATAAAGTTTGCATTGACTTCTGTGCTTTTTAAGTGCCAGCCTACTCACCTCTTCACTCTGCCACCAGCAGCCTTCATCTGCTTTCTGTGTCTCTGCTTTTGCCTATTGTGGTCATTTTATATAAGTGAAGTACTCAGTCTGTTGTTGGAGGTAATTTCGTTGCCTTTTCCCCCTAGTTTTGTCTGAGCTGGCCTTTCTCCTACAAGAAGGAGGTAGATCCCTTAGACACAGCTTCTAGGTTTCACCTCTTCCCAGTTCCTCAGTGTGATTGATCCCCAGCAACACCCTGCTGACTGCCTTCCCTTGGGACAGCTAGATGCACACATGACCAGACTCATGCCACTGACCCCACTCCATGCATAGACAGGGCACATGTGCCGCAGTGACCACCTCTCATTGATACCATAACTGTGTGGCGCTCCAACCAGCTCGCTATAGTCCACCAGCTAGAACTCTGCTGAAGACCTACCTACGTGATGGAGTGGCCCCTAGGTATATCTCCCTCTTGCTTGCTCCCCGCTCTCAGTACCTGTACTCCTTAAGCTCTCCTCCACACTGGCCCTGCAGGCATCTTGCACTCTTCTCTCCAGGATCTATGAGTAACTGCACACGTGGTGGGAAGGGCCACCTCTGCGTCTCACTAAACAGACGCACCTGTACTTGCTTGCTTTCCTGGTGGGGGGTCTCTGGACTGTAGACATTGTGGTGTGGAGAACCTGGACAAGGCAGAGAACAGCCACTGGGAGTCCATCCATACAAATAGACTGGCTGGCAGAGGGGCACCTGGGGATGAGTGGGTCACTTAGGCATAAGGCTGATCACCAGGTGAAGGAATTGTCCCATGAAGGGCACATTCTAAATCTTTAGGAGTAAACACCCTGAAGCCCCGTGAAAGTGCCACTCTTAAGAAAGAGAGCTCAAAACCAAATGAGGAAAAGAAGTGCAACAGTGTCCTTTTGCACTGGCTTCTTTCATTTAACAGGATGTGTTCAAGGTTCATCCATGTTGTAGCATGTATCAGTATCTCATTTTTCATGAGTGAACAGTATTCCACTTGGTGACTATGCTCTGTTTTGTTTGTGCATTATTAATGTTCAACATTTGTGTGACTTCCACCTTTAGAATAGTGCACCAGTGAACATCTGTGTGCTAATATTTGTTTGAGCACCGGTTTAAAATTAATTTGAGCATCTGTTGAAGTGTGGAATATATGCAGGACTCTGTGCTTAGGTGTGTGTCACATGGTAACTCAGCTTTTGATTTACTGAGAGACCACCAAACCTCTTTCCACTGCAGCTCTACCATTTTACATTCCTGCCAGAAATGTGTTTGGGTTCTAATTTTGCAACATCCTGGAGAACTCTCTTGTTATTTTTCTCTTTTTGTTTTGTTTATGTGCATGCAGTTCTGGAAATTGTATCCAGTAGCACTCTACCACTGAGCTGTATCTCCACTGCTTGCTTATTTATTTATGTAATTATTTATTTTTGAGACCAGGTTTGCTAAGCTGCCGAGGTTGAACTCAAGCTTGTGATTCACCTGCCTCAGTGCAGGATTACACCTTTGCACTACTGTACCTGGCTTATTTTCTGTTTTTTCATTATTGCCAACTTTGTGGGTGAAAATGATATCTTGATTCTTATTATAATGATACTTATTGTGTTTGGGTTTGGTTTTTCGTATGTTGGTGGCAGGTTATTTTTTTGGTTCTGCTTCATTTTTCCCATAGTGGGGTTTGATCCCTGAATCTTGTAGGCCCTCTACCACTGGGCTACTTTTCCAGCCCGTTTACTTTATTTTGAGACCAGGTCACATGGGCTAGCCTCCAACTTTCAATCTTCCTGCCTTAGCCCCACAAGCAGATAGGATTCCATGCAGGCACCACTTCATCAACCTGAACTCTGGTTTTGCTTTGCACTTGTCTAGCAGCTGTTGATGTTGAGCATATTTTTATATGTTTGCTGGTCCTATGGTTGTTCTTTGGAAAATATCTACCCAAGTTCTTTGTCAGTCTTTTAATTGCATTGTTTGGTTTGTTTGTTGGTGAGTCGTAGGACTTTTTATATATTTGGTACATGCATATCAGATATATGATTAAATATTTTCTTTCATCTTGGTAGTTGCCTTATCAGTGTTGGTAGGATCCTAGGAGGCACAAAAACTATTCATTTTGATAGAGTCCAACTTATTTCTTTATACTATTTTGCCTATTAATTTGGCATCAGAACTGTGAAAACATCAAATGCAATGTTATGAACATTTTCTCATCCCTTCTACAACTTCTGTAGCTTTAGGCCTTACATCTCAATTTCTGATTCATTTTGAGTTAATCTTTGTGTACAGGATAAGCTCAGGGGCTAACCTCATTCTTTTACATCTGGTTTCCCATTTTCTCACACCACTTGCTGAAATGGCAAAATCACTTCAGCGTGGCTCCAGACTGAACAGTGTTCCCTCCCAAAATCATAGCTTAAAAGCCAATTCTGAATACTACATTATTTGTAGGTAGTATAAAAGGAATAAAGGTTTGATGAAGATGGAAGGATGGGGTTTGAATTCTATAGGACTGATATTCTTACAGAGGAGGAAGAGACGCCAGCGTCATCTGTGTTGATGAGCTAAGGAGGAAAGGCCATATGCAGACACCAGAAGAACATGGTCATCTGCAATCGAGGAAGCAATTACTAGGAACTGTATTGGCTTGGACATTTATCTGGGACTTTTAGGTTCCAGAGATGTGAGGCAGTAAGTTTCTGCTCTTTAGGTCAGCCAATATGTGCTATGTTGTTCTAACAGCCCGAATGGATTAATATAGTCATATATTCTAGGGTTTACTTCTTGAATCACTTCCATTTGTCCATATCTCCATTATCTTCCATTGGCCTGTATATCTCTGTCACTTTCATGTGGTCTTTATGCAAGTTCAGTAATGTTTTCATTACTGTAGTTTTGTTAAATCAGGAAGTATGAGAAGTCCAACTTTACTCTTTGCAATCAATATTGGTTTGGCAATTTGAGATCCTTTAAGATTCCACATAAATTTCAGAATGAAAGTTTTTATTTCTGCAAAAATATGTTGTTGAGATTTGGCTAGGGGTTAATTGTATCTGTAGTCCATTTTGAGTAATATTGATATTCATAATATTGTTTCCAACCTATGAACAAGGGATGTTTTTCCATTAATAGAAGTCTTCTTTCTTTTAGCAAAAACTCTAGTTTTCTTTTTCTCTTGTTTTTTTTTTTTTTTTTTTGTACCAGGAATCAAACTCAGGACCTTGAGCTTACCAGTATACATGCTTTGCCTACTTGGTGAAGTTTATTCCTACATATTTATTCCTTTCTCAGATATTATAAATGCGAGTGTTTCCTTAATTTTCCTTCTGGATCACTCATAATCTGTGCATAGAGAAACACCTATGTTAGTTTTGGATTCTTTGAATTGCTTATTAAATTTGACAGTTTCTGTGGAATATCCTGAGGTTTTTCTGCTTATAATATGATCAATGTTGACTTGAAAACAAAAAGTGAAAACCGCTATCTTAGTCTTGTTCTTGATCTTGAAGGAAAAGCTTTCAGTCTTCAGTTATTGAGGATGACTCTAGTGTACGTTTCTGATATGTGGTTTTTATTGCTTTCTAGTAGTCATTCACACAGAAAGAAGCAGACGATATCCTCTATCCATGTGTTTGTTACAAATCCAGGGACTCTAAGGAAAATCTCAGTAAATGTGAGACTTTCAGAATAGTTCTAAAATTGTATAAAGTATTCTACTTGGCTTATTTTATTCTGGCTGTTTGTCACCTAACAAGATTTACTTTTGTTTTACAGTAAGTATATTGATGATAACCAGGTCAAGGATTACCTGGTTCAGCTAAAATGTCACTTTACATGGGAACTGGCAATTGAAGAAGCTGAAATACCAGATTTAGAAAGCAGGGTCTTGGAAGAGATTGAGTTCCTTGACACCAAGTACAGTGTGGGAATTCACAACCTTCTGGCCTATGTGGAGCACCTGAAAGGCCAGAATGACAAAGCTCTGCAGAGTCTGAAAGATGCTGAAAGCTTGATCCAGAGAGAACACACTGACCAGTCAGACATGAGAAGCCTGGTGACCTGGGGCAACTACGCTTGGGTATATTACCATGTGGGAAGGTTGGCAGATGCCAAGATGTACCTGGACAAAGTTCAGAAAGTTTGTAAGAAGTTTTCAAGTCCTTTTTACTATAGGATGGAGTGCCCTGAGTTGGACTGTGAGGAAGGGTGGGCCTTACTGAAGTGTGGAAGAAAGAATTATGAGCGGGCTCAGGCCTGCTTTCAGAATGCTTTGGAAATGGAGCCTGAAAACCCTGAATTCAATACCGGATATGCTATCACCACCTATCGTCTGGATTACTTTAACACAGTCTACAAGAATGGGGAAGCACCTTCGCTAGACTCCCTGAAAAAGGCCGTGAGGCTGAATCCTGAAGATACATACATCAAGGTCCTCCTTGCCCTGAAACTTCAGGATATGGGACAGCAAACTGAAGGGGAAAAGTACGTTGAAGAAGCTCTAAGCCACAAGTCCTCCCAAACCTACATCTTTCGGTATGCAGCCATCTTTTATCGCAAAGCAAGCTGCGTGGATAAAGCTCTTGAGCTCCTGCAAGAGGCCTTGCAGGCAATACCCGACTCTGCTTTCCTGAATCATCAGGTAGGGCTTTGCTACAGAGCAAAAGTAATGCAAATAAAGAAAGCCACAAACATGCAGCCAAGAGGCCAGGATAGAGAGGATATGGACGAATATATACGATTAGCCATATTTTATTTGAAATTTGCTCTGAAACAAAAGCCCGTATTTGATATTGCTCTTCTACACCTGGCACTTATGTATATTGAGGCAGGGAAATACAGAGAAGCTGAAGACACTTTTCAAAAGTTACTCTCCATGACACCACATGAGAAAAGCATACTACAAAGGGGACATTTCTCCTATGGCAAATTTCATGAATATCAAAGGAGATCGGACACTGATGCAATTAGGCATTATTTAAAAGCAACACAGATAGGAGAGCTATCATTTATAACAGATAAAAGTATTAATTCTTTGGAGAAATTGGCTTTAAGGAAACTTCAGAGAAATGCATTTGACACGGAAGGCCTGAGCCTCCTGGAATATGTCCACAAATTGAAAGGAAAAAGGAATGAAGCCCTGGAATACTCTGAGGAGGCCCTGAGCCTGGCTCCTCACTCTGAGGAAGCTGGAGGAAGTGATCCCTAGGTGCTGAAATCTCAGCCACTTTGACTTTTCATTTGCTTTTCCATTAATATTTACTCGGTTTATTGTTTTTAGAAACATGTATTATGTAGCTCAGTGTAATGATGTAATGTTTGAACCATTTCTCAAACCTGGAGAAACATCATTAGTTGTATTCAGGAAATAGTGAAACAGAATATGTGTGTGTGGGGGGGGAATTGATCATTTATGTGACTGCTATAGAGTAGAAAAAAACTTGCTGAGCACATTTGTAGCAAATAAAATTCTAGGTTTTTTTTTTTTTTTTTTTTTTTTTTTTTTTCTCCGGTACCGGGAACCAAACTCACGCCCTTGCGCTTGCCAGGCAGGCGCTTTTGCCGCTGATATGATTTAGGCTTCAAAACTTTTAGCCTAAT